CTAAATGGAATGGGAAAGTAAATCCCTTAATTAATCAAGGAAATAAATCTCCTTGATTAATTAGGAGACTCACGTCAACAGTTTCCCCCAATTTCGACCATTATTGTCATCATAATTCTAGTTTTTTGACAAAGACTCGTAGTTTATTCAAAGTTGCAATTAACTTTAATATGTTTTTATTGTTAAATGGAGGAACGAAAGATGACGTGAGCTGCACGTGCATGGGTAGGGTCAAAAGCATGTCCCTATTGTTAAATAACTAATAGGGATGGGGAACCGAACCAAGCCAAACCGACGAGTACATCATTACTCAATGACAAACTATTCGGAGGAGCAAATCTCAAAATTGACGTTGAACCACTACATCAGACAAGCGATGTTGTCGCTTCATCGAACCAACAGTTCGATTTAGCTTGGTGTTGGTTTTTGAGACAATTCGCTGTGATGGGATGCCAAACCTGTGCTCCGCGGTGATGATCCCAATAATCCCAGAGGTATTGACATACATTTCATTCAAGAACTTTGAGAATTGGTATGAAATTGCGTTCTTATGTTTGGTAAACGCATTTTTGGGAATGCGATACCTAACTCATGGGTATGAAGAACTTCCCATATAGGGGGAGATTTCATAATAAAACACAGGTGGATATCCGACGCCTTGACGCAACCGCCTGTGATGGTTGGAGGAAAATCATAATAAAACGAAGACAAATAGGGGAAGCCTTTTGTCTTTGAGAATGAGGGGAGAGGAGAATGAAGGAAGATAAGAGGGGAGAGGGGAGGAAGAACAGTGACTTCCTCCCCCCTCAAAGTGAAAACGGCTATGAGAGTGTTTTTTCTGAGAGAGAGAGGGGGCTAAGGTTTCTCATGTGGAATATCACTTTTGACCCTTAAACTCTTGGTATTAATATTTTTTGATTTTTTTATAAATAAATTAAGGGTATGGTTGGAAAATTGAACAACTTTTCATTCCTATTAACTTCCTCCCCCCTCAAAGTGAAAACGGCTATGGGAGTGTTTTTTCTGAGAGAGAGAGGGGGCTAAGGTTTCTCATGTGGAATATCACTTTTGACCCTTAAACTCTTGGTATTAATATTTTTTGATTTTTTTATAAATAAATTAAGGGTATGGTTGGAAAATTGAACAACTTTTCATTCCTATTATTGCACAAAATAAACATGAAAATGAGAGAAAAATGATATTTCATAGTCCTCATTTCCCAACGTTCCCAAACATGGGAATGAACATCTTCCATTTTCATCTAGTGGGATTAAACATGTGAATTTCATTCCTACGAAATTCAATCCGCGAACCAAATGGGCTGGAGAGAGCTAGTGAAAGCTACCTTTGTAGGCTTGCATCAATTGTCAAAACTAGAGAAGACTGCAAAGCAAATTTTCAAGTAGAGAGCATATGTGTGGCGCATAGTTAATTAATTTACCAATTCAAATGAGAACATTTTTCGTTGGAAGACTTGAGACATTGGTTGATTCCACTCTTCTTTTATTGACTTTTTAAAATTTGACATATCATCTTATATATTTTTATTTGCAGCTTTACCTTGTATGGTATTTTTATTTTCTTGATTCGTTCAACATGCTATTCATTGTTTGAATAAAATAGTGGATCAAGATTCAATAGAATGGTAATGACGGGATGGGAGAAGAGACCACGGTGTCTTGAGAGTGAAATAATGGAGAAAAATATCACATCCAGGATCGCTCCGCTGTAGCATGATATCGTCTGCTTTGGGCCCCCCCTCTCTGCCCTCACGGTTTTGTTTCTGGGAGCTCACGAGCAACTTCCCAATGGGTCACCCATCCTGGGATTGCTCT